TTTCCGAGAGCGCTTTATTAAAATGAATACGAGACCGTCTGGTGGGAACGACCGATGATGACATGCCAGTCAGCTTGTCTGATGCAACGAACGAAGACAATCTACGTAGTATGCGTGACATTATTGATCATATCTTTAGAATTGAGTAGATATAGCAATTCGCGTTGCGACTCTATCTCTCTATTGACAAAACGGACGAAACACTTCGATGTTACTTCATACGTTATCTTCGTAGAGAATATTGTGAAGAGTGAGTGATTCGTGGTTGTCACGCAATTATCCAGAATTTAGACACTAGAAACGGGAAAGCGTGCGAAACGTGAAACGATGCGTGGCCAGGCGGCGCGTATGCGTATGCCGTCAATGTGTATGTACAACGTAGTATGTAGCAGACGCTACTGTCATTCGATTCCCGTGTTTCCGAAGCGTAACGGCACGGCGAAGACGTTTATGTATCTCTTTTCAAAACAAACACGTAACTATTACTGTTCCCGAAGATGTTCTAATGGAAGCCGCTAGGGATGCAGAGCGTACGTGCAGCGCGACAGGTCTCTCTTGCGAGAAATCACGTACGTGATGATTTCCCGTAGGCTAAACAGGGGCGTGTACAGGGGGGGGGGTCCGGACCCCCCCCCGTTCTCGCGCAGAAAACGCATCTGAGGGGGTCTAATTTTTTCTGGGGGAGGGTCCCCTAAACCCCTCCTTCGCGTGCTCGCAAGTTTTGGTTACGGTTAGACCCCCCCCTTCCCCCTGGCACAAATCCTGTACACGCCCCTGCTAAATATATAGTCTAGAAAAGTGTTAGCTTGATTTGCATCGAACCACTCGGCAGCAACCGTAGGCCTACCACTGGAAATATTCCACGCTAGTTCAAGTGCGAGTCCATATAATAAGCTTTATTACTCCTTACACACAGCGTACGCATGTGCAATCACCGATGCTGCGAAATGGTCAAACACACTCGCTAATGCTGCGGATAGTCATCCTGTTGCTATGCAAGTGAGCGTCTATATTTGGCCCGTACTCCTGGTGGTCAGCCGGTGGTCAGTGGTGACCTCATCTGGCCTTTCCGGCCAACACACGTAAACAGTCACGAGGTTGTTTTGTGTTATGCCTTTGCCGCTGTAGACGTATAGATTTCAAGCCATGAGAGAACGATGTCTCCGAAAATAGAAATTGATAAATTATTAAAATATAGATATGACAAAATGCAACTGAGATTTCTCTAATATGAGGTAAATTGTTGACAATCAAATATTGATTTATATGTAAAGGTACAGTGATCTGTTAATGCTCCTCAAGCGATGTTCAATTTTATCTCGTAATGTTGTGGATAACGTACGTGACCGACAAAACGGGTAAAATGTACAATCACAAACGGAGGTTAAAATTAATGGAAATTTGCGCCCAATTGTCGCAATCTATAAACGATTATCTGGCCGTATTTCTATATTTCGCGCTGGCTGTACGGCAAAAGACGCGATTCAAGTTTATTAGCTTGAAAGGTTCGGTCTCAGCCGCATACATAGGTCGTACCGCTGCTGACACAGCTGATGCGCCCTGTGATGCGCCCACTCGCGTTTTAGATAGCAGCCAGTTTGCGTCTGTTTTATTGTTTCACGGCGTGACGCTCAATTGGTTATTATGTGCCGGCTGCTGGGAAACGGCGGTGTCAGTCTATATGCACTGGCGTTTGCCCAAGCGTTGGGTGCTCGCGAGGGAGTGCGCTTAGAAATTTCGTAACGTCCGTCATTCATTGATCGTAAAGCGGAATTCTGGGATAACATGTACCACACGACCGGCAGGGAATTCTGGGATAACATGTACCACACGACCGACAGGGAATTCTGGGATATGTTGCACTCTGATGAAACAAGAGCATCACGGGAAGGATCGTACCGTGGCCGAGAATCCTAGCTCTGACTATATGAGTCATACATACGCCGCGTAGGAAAAGTGCTGAATCGATAGGAAGTGGGCCCGCGTTTCTAGTTGCAGCAATGCAGCGTGCGTGCACCTGATTGAATCCGCATGTGGAAACCGCGTCCCATTCGCAAACCCTTTTGCTACTGCGTATTTTAATTGTTGATGTAGTGTACATCAATAGGTTATTTTACAGTAGGCTCAAAAATAAAAAAGGACAGCTAAGCTATTCTTGTGTTTACGTTTTCAATGTTGCGTAGGTCATCTATTGTGACGTTTGAACGGGAAAACAATGTTGGTGATAACAAACTCAAATGTAGCGGAATCTATTTCGCGGGTTCATTCCTATAGAGAGCAAGGTATTTTGCGTGTAATACATGTAAAACTTCAGCATTGGTTTTACGGATATCGACATTTCATTGGTACAATAAAAATTAAAAGATTTCAGAGCAATTCATTTCATTTTCGGTCGTTCATTATATATAATGATAAATTTAAGCTTTTATCATGCTCTTAATTAGGAACCCACCTGCCTTTCCAATCGAAAACGCGGCAGTATTATATAGGTATACTACCGTAGCAGTAGCATATAAGTGTCTAATCTATAATCATTCATGGTACTCGGTGTATGTATGTTACCAAGAGCTAATAATACATCATACAGGTTACCTCATCATACCATACCTACCTCATGGTAACATCATACCTACATAATACAGGTATTATCCGCTCTTGATGTTACGTATGTATGTGTGTGCGTGCGTGCGCGCGTGTGTGTGTGTGTTCGCGTGCGTGCGTACGTACCTGCGTGCGCGTGTGTGTGCGTATGTGTGTGTGTCACAGTGTGTGTGCGCGTGTGCGTGCGCGCGTGCGCGTGTGCGTGTGCGCGCGCGCGTGTGTGCGTGTGCGTGTGCGTGTGCGTGTGCGTGTGCGTGCGCGTGCGCGTGTGCGTGTGTACGTGTGTGTGCGTGTGTGTGTATGTATGTGTGTGTGCGCGTGTGTGTGTGCGTGCGCACGCATGTGCGTGCGTGCGTGCAGGTGCGTGTTCATGCAGCTCTCATGCTTCCATACGTGTAACGCTGTAATGCCATATTAAACCAGTGATTTCTGGGAAAATGTCAGAAGCAAAGTGTTAATTCCCTGATGTGAAATATCTGTACAATGGCTCTTGATGTGGATTCACGCCACATGTCGGCATGAGAGGCGTGTGCACAAAGAACTACAGCTAGCTAAATGTTAATTGAAAAAGATATGTAATTTTTAATAGCAGAAAATGCGTATTTAAAATGAAAAACACGAAGGATGCGCATGCAACTGTAACCGTGTTACAGTAACACGTAATTACCTATTATCCCATCCTACGATGATTAACATTGGAAAGTGTTTTACTTTCTAGTTTCTATAGTAGGCCTTATATATCTCATCCACTCAGTGAATCGCAGCCAACAACAGCTATAATGAACAAATCGCTAGGGTACTTCCTCAGGGTCGTGGCTAACTTATTTTGTCTGCATGGGTGAGTGGGCGTCGGGAAGCCACCGGTGGTAACTGGTAAGTGATTTTGGCACTTGATTTTGGCAATTGTCCTCCCCCACGCTGCTAGCTCCGGCTCCGGCTCCGGCTTTATAGCGAAATCCCTTTGCCGTACTTCGAAATTGCTCTGGTAGTATAGCTGGGAATTGAATTGATGAATGAAATACTAAACGCAGACGCTTAGGCCCTATACCTACTAGGCTAGTCGTGTGGTAATAAAGCCCCTGTTCAATCTTTCCGCTTCAAAGCAATTCTTTGTACATATTCTACAATAAATCGGCGTAAGCAATTATTGGAAGAGAGGCTTTAGTAAGCAGTCATACATCGGATATTGTAGGCAGGGCGGGAATTCTTATTATATAGGTTTTATTACTCGTAGTTCTTTTTCAGTTAACTGGTCGCCATTAGGCATGTCTTGTGTTTTAATTTCATGAAGAACGCTGTTTCGTGAAGACGTGCGATAGAAGGAGTACTGTAGTGTAAGTTAATATTTCAGTCCTAAAGTGGGAAGTCGGAGAATTACGATCCGATTTACGGCCACTGTAAGAAATGACTAACGCCTCACAGTTCCCAAAGCGACCGTTACCGTATTTGCCCATGATAGTGTACGGAAAGTCGGGTTCCACGTATCTATGTCTTCTATTTTTACTAGGAATAAATTGCGCTTAATTGTGCTGAACTTAATTTACGCCTCTACTGAACACACCCTATACAGTATATACTCAGGTACCTAACAACTATAGGTCCAGTTTTATATACAATGACCACAATGTAAATACGCGCGAGCTTGTCATATTTTATTGCACTCTTATTGGTAGTTATCCAGTCGCATATTATATTTACGTCCACATTTGGTTTGCAATGCATGCATTGAATAATACCCAAATAAACAAATAAAAATAATACATCATACGTCGCCAGTTTAACGTCAACTTCCAAGCACCGCAAAAAGCATGGAGTATAGTCGTGCATAATCATTTGAATTATACTATTTCTTCACTTTGCAACTTAGCAACTTAGCAATAGTTGTTTAGACGCGCCGCATACATAACGCATTGTCACAGTATATTGCATCAGTATTTTACCTGAGGCTCTAGGTTTGAAAAACACACCCACTCGTGGTCAAAAGAGACCACGCGTGGATTTCTGCGACACACACGCGCGCGCGCGCACAACACACACACACACACACACACACACACACACACATACACACAC